AGACACGTCTCCAGGCATTTTTGAAAACATCCGAAAAGTACCAAATAGAGTGGATACCGACAGCAAAAGCCTTTTAATTAATAAAACCTCAGGAGCAACCGTTAATCCTATCACTCCCTGGGACTGGAATTGGGATGGCAAGCAGTTTGAAGGTCCAAATAGCCAAAATGCCACCGCAAGCGGGGACGCAACCACCGGTGTAACCATGCATAGCAGACATCTTCTTCTCATCCGGCATGGTCAATACGAATTTGCACAAGACGATAAAGACTGTCATCTAACTGAATTGGGACGGGAGCAACTGGCGCATACCGGCAGGCGGTTGCGTCAGCTGAACCTTCCCTATGAAAGAATGGTCGTTTCGACAATGACAAGGGCCACAGAGTCCGCGGAGGAAATACGAAAGCAGCTTCCCAGAATCTCAGCAGAGTCTTGCGAACTCATACGAGAAGGTGCCCCCTTCCCGGGCGAACCTCCGATTCCGAACTGGAAACCAAGTGAAGAGGAATTTCGTGTTGATGGTCAACGAATTGAATCAGCTTTCAAGAAGTACGTCCATCGAGCAGGCGCAAGACAAAAAGCAGACACTTTCGAGTTATTTGTCTGTCATGCAAATGTGATACGTTACTTTATTTGTCGTGCATTACAACTACCACCAGAAGCTTGGATACGTTTCTCGCTAGATAATGGGAGTATCACGTGGCTCACAATTAGACCGAATGGACGTGTCTCATTGCGCTGGCTCGGAAATTCTGGTCACATGCCTCCGGAGAAGTTATCACTATCATAGAGAATATGCCGCTGGAACGACAACCACCTGTATATTGACAACTAGCGCCGAGCCCCCACAGACTTACCTCGGCCTAATTTTGTACTTAACGGCTTAAAATGATGCTTTTAGCGGCTCGTTTTGTTTCGACCTAGTTTTATTTTTTCTTTTAACCGTGGGAAATATCAATCGACTTATCCTTATTCGGAGAATCGAGACAATGCACTTCCGGCATAAAATATATGCATTTCCTCAAATATTGCGCTGTGTAAATGGCTGCCAGCGGCATCTAATATGCACCGATGGAACGGAACATTAGAATATCTATAAAGCCATCTTACTAAAATAGGTTAAATGAGCATCTGTGGTTGTGCGTGCATGCGCCGGCGTTCATGAGCGAAAGTAAAAGGACCAAACACGTTAGGACTGTGATAAACAAATAGTAGCTGTTTTAAGACATCTATATAAAAATAGGACAATGAAACAGATGTTTAAACATGTAAATGCAGCAGGCGGGAATTAATATTCAGGTTTGAGATGAAGACATGCATTAACCCAATACGCCAAGAATAGTGAGGCAAGAGTTTAACTCATTCGACACCACAAAGTACCTGCCGCCTTTGGTCAAAGAAAGTTGTTTTTAGCTTTTCCAAAGACTCGTCGCAATCGAAAACGATAATTGGGGCCGGCAACCCATATTTATTTTCCAGCAATAGTTCATCATGGAATTTGTGGAGTTGTTCTAGGTAGGCCAAAGGTATGCATTCTTCACCGGGTCTGTTTCTCTGTTTAATCCTCGAAAGACATATTCTAGGGCTCGAACGAAGGTAGATGAATAAATCGGTT